ATTAATTTTATTTAGTTATATTCCTATCTCTAAATTTTTTATATCTGTAATCATTATCAATATATTTTATTTTTATAATCATGGATTATCATTTATCTAAAAAAAAGAGTTTCTTATTTTTTCAAAGTATTCTTATGTTCATCGCATCTCTAAATATATGTCGTGTTTTTATTGCCCATGGCTTTCACCTGTAAAAAGAACGATTTTATAAGTGAGTAGGAAATTTGCCGTTTCTAATTTAAGATTCAGTCCGTGCTGTATTATCCTTCCTATCCTCGCGTGATATTCCGTGTGCGGATCAGCATATTTCGCGATACTGCGATTTTGCAACACACCCGCATTGACGCGCACACTTACGAATGCATCCTGCATGCTCACGAAGCATAAATCGCCAATCGCTATAGCTATCACGTCAAAAGGAATGGCAGTGCTTATGATACTTTGAAATTATCAAACATAAGTATATGTGTGCGCAATGGAGATGTTTAACAGAGATATTGCATTCGTTGAAATAAACAAATAAACAATTACAATATTGATTAAATAAATAGATAAATTAATATAACATTTCTTTCATATTAATTATTTGATTAAAATAGCGAAAGATATAAAATCATTCTACGATTTACAGACTAAGAGTCGAAAATAGAAATGTCGAGTAATCACAATCGAATTTTTTAAAATTATATTAATTAGTAGAACTCACAGAGTTTGTGTGTGCATAAATTCGTATATGCATTTACATACGAATTTATACGTGATCGATCTGTCATTTAATTTTCATACACAGATGATATCAATTTCTACTACTTAATCTTTCACAAAATAATTTTATTTTTTAGTTTCTTAAGTAAAGATGCTATATGTATTACAGGAGCCAACTAATTAATAATAAACTATTTAACTAATTAATCGCAAATAATGTAATCTCTATTTATGTGAATATTTAAATAATTGATCATTGCACTTAACAAAGTTTTAAATCTAAATTTGAAAAATGTAATTTATTTATTATTTTACGTGATGAAGAAATGAAGATTAATTTTTGACAATCTTTTTTCCAAGTTTTCTTACAGTTTTCTTTCGAGACAAACGAAACGAAACTGTGCACTTAATAAAGAAGACAACAAAGAAGAATCGTGAATCTTTACAACGATCTTACTTCGCTTACAAGATTGATCAAAGTCACGTAACTTTATTTCCCTCGAGAAAAGTTTGGCGAAGAGTGTTAATTAGAATGTTAATTACTCAACATATAAATATCAACAACATATCTCTATTCATTAATTTCAAATTCAAATATTAACAATATTTCGCATTTATCATGCGACACGTGAAGTATTTTGTGTGTAAGATAACATTGTTTATGTACATAGGTGTACGCACGCTTGGCGCTCGGCGCTCACCTCTTCTTATTTGTTTGCCTTTGTTGCCACGCGCGGGATACAACATACCATTGCTTAGGACAAGGTCGCCGTGTAATCATTCGCACGACGATGCTCGGACGAGCAAGTAGCAAATACGGACCGCGTGTTCTTACGTTACGTTACCGAAACGTGATCACGACGGTGAATAACGAGAAACACAAACGCGATTTCCCACAGGTAATTAGACGTAGCGATCGAAGTAGCGATTAACGAATCGCGACATCCTGTCCATCGAAGCGGATACGGCGCACGCATGTTTTATTCTTTTAACGTTTTAACGTGAAAATCGATGGAATGAGAAAATTATAAACGGTTTTATCGCGACGATAATTGCTGATCTACGCTTTAGCCATACATATGGATATCGCGTCGCGTTCTACATTTCTTGTCGATCTAGATGGAACCTGTTCTTCGTTACTCTCGAATTGATAGCACGAAGCAAGACGCCAAATCGAGTGACTCGCGTGACGAACAGTGATTTTTATCGATTTAATAACTGTAAATCTGTTAATAACTGATATAAAAGATTCAAGAAAGTGCTCGGTATCAACATTTTCTAGAGAATATTTACGAAAATATATTTTAATAAATTAGGATGCGCAATGCTTATATATACGATTTACCGTATGTATCCGCGTGTTTACACTTTGTTTTCATTAACGCGACGAAACTCGAATAGGTCGTTACGTATGTCTTTGCGTTATTATCCATCGAAATATCTCGCGCAATTATCTCGTACGAACAATCGACTTCGTTATCGGTTTATGCGGTTAACAAACTCTTGCTACTCATAATAAATGCATGTCGAGGCAATGGTTATTTGAAAACAGATAATCTCACGTGATTTAATTGCTCGGAATTGGAATGACAAGCTAGGAATAATAAATTATCTATTCTATATTATGATAAATAACGGACCACTATGTCTAATTTGTAATACAAATACGATTGTCGAATGAAATAATCCAAAAAATTGAAAATTACAACATATTGATCGTTCAATAATAATGCTCCGTGTATTTCGTGAGATTTCGTATCGTCATGTGATTAATGTCGGGAGTGTCGTGTAAAATATCGCGCGATCGTAATTAATCGCGTTTTCGTAAGTGTTGTGTCGTGTGAGTGAAGGAAACGAAGTGAAGGAAGCTGAGAGGAGGAGGAGGCCTGGGAGGCATCGGGCAACGGCGGAGCAACCGTGGGGTAAGTAATTTATTATGTTATTCATTATTCCAGAATTGATCATCTATTCCTATTTACGCGAATAATTTAAATAAAAAGACTTTATATATTTTTGAAAAAACTTCCGAATTATACGATTTTATTATACGATTTAATAAATCAGAGTTTGTAATATATAGAAAAAATTTTTTTTATATTAACCCACACAACATAACAAGTTCCCGGGCAGCTCCGAATTTTTGTAAGTTCCCCAAGAGTTCAGCAATATCAACTCTCTGAGATCTTATCTTATAGAATTTTGCTCCTCGAGAGCTCGATAACTCCTTAGGAGTTGCATCTGAGCTTTGTGCTGTGTGGGTATTCTATTCTCAATAAATAATTCATTGAAGGATGAATAAAAAATTCAATTTGCAAATAATTATTTTATGAAATGTTATTTTGAACGTTGTTTTAATCCGAATCTATTTGAATATTGCAGCTCAACATTGTATCAACAACTCCGCTGCTGCGCACCGTATCGGTGAGTGATAAATCCTATTTTAATTGAGAGTGGATCTATTTATATCAGAATTTTATACTATGAAATCACATTATATCTAAATTATATATAGATGTATATGTATATTTTAAAGAATATAAAGATTAAAAATATACAAATAATTGTGATTCATAGATCCATTGTCTCAACACGAATGGACTAGAACAGATAAGTTTGAATACGTAATTCTAATACATGCGATTTATTATACATCCACGAAATTTTTCATGAAATTTAGAACTGTGAAGATATAATATTAATAGTATTATTTAGTCAATTTCTCAATATTTACTCTCTATTTACAAAAGTAATTATATTTTATTGATTAGAATGGTAATATATAAATGAAAAGAAAAAAGATTAAATTTCATATTATAACATTAAATTAAGATATCTTTAAAATATTTTTTAAATGTAAAATTTTTTTTATAGTTCGAATCTTTTATGGATAACGAAATTAGAACAAAATATTTATGTATATTGTATCATATGAAATAAAAAGATATTGGCATTTATAAAGTATATCGAAAATTGTTTTATATATACGTTTTATATATGCGTTTGTGTGTGTTGTTCTTTTTTTTTTTTTTTTTTTTTGTTAAAATTTTTTTATATAAAATTTAATGAAATTTGCGTTAGGTTTATCAAATTAAATATTAATTAAAAATTGACGCATAAAAAGGAAGAAATTTTTTTAAATATATTTTTAATACGCATATTTGTGTAACAATATTTTGTATTGGCAATCTCTTAATTTTTTTTTCATATACTTGTCAATGTCAGCTGATTGCTATGATATATGAAATATTGTGTAAGAAAGCAAAAGTCAAATTAGCGATAAATATCAATATCAATTGAATCATAAAAATCAGTAACAAATTATAAACAAGTGCATCCATAAATGCAATATCCCGATATCGCACATACTTTACGTGATATTATTAGAGCATTGGATTATTATTTCGGAAATTACTATGACTTTGATATTTTTATATCAAGATTTTTTTATTTTACTTAATCTTTAGAATTTGTTATTAACGCATTGTATAACAGCTCTAAACGATAATAAGATACAATTAACATGATTTATGTAAAAATTATAGGATAGTATATTGTATATAATTAACTAAAGTAGAATTCTTTTTCTTTTTTTCTGTTCCCGCGTTTGATAGATCAATAATTTTCGCTAATAACGGAAAATATTAGCAACGTCGATCATTATAACGAAGTAAACTTAAACGCAATGATGCGGGTGGGTAAACACGCTATGCTTTCACCAATTACGAACGGCGACGAAAGTTATTTTTCGTGCTTTGAATTTACTCAGAAAATTCTTTTGAAGTGTTACTCAACGGTCACTTTCCTTTGAAGAGTTAATGCTAAATACTAAATTATTTACGAGCATTAGGATTATTATTATGTTTCCGTTGACGCAAGAAAAATTGCTTTCTCAAAATCAAAATTTTTTAAACATATATTTAATATCTACGAATACGGATAATATATTCTTTAACAGGTATGACAGGTATCTAATATTTAATGCGATAAGAATTTATATCTTTATATAAGTAAGAGAAAAACGAAGATTCTAGATTTTTATTAAATCTATAAAAATATTAAATCTAATTTAATTAAATACGAAATATGTGATATTCAGTTACATAAATAAAATAAACGATGGTTATGCTGAATTTCTCACCGAGATAGATTACGAATGGCGTCAGTGTCTGACGTTACGTAGCATAGAATGTACGTTTCATCTCGCTGCGCGAATGAGCGGTTGAACAATAGGAAGGAAAACAAGGATATTTTAAGACACAAAGGACACACAAAACATTCGCGTGTAAGGCCACGCGATTGCATCTCGTTCATTCACTTCGAGACGTCGCAGGGGTACACTTCCGCAGCTTCGTGTCGTAGGCATACACATGTGACATGCACTATTCCCTGCGTGTGTATGCGAATTGTGCGTAGGTGTACGGTGCGTTGCGTTAATGTCACTCTTACAAATAAACTACCGCCCCTTCCGGTACTTTGTGGTGCCGTGCTTATTCCATTTGCTCTTAATTATTTGCGACTTGGTATATTTTGTCCGTCAGACTCGAAACCTGTAATATATCAATATACACACGCTACGAGTTACCTCGTAATACGAATTACTTCGCATTTCGTATCTTGAATAATTTAAATGCTCTTATCAAAAAATGACATTTTTAATTCGAATTAGGTGTTCAGCTCGAGTGTTAATAACAAAGCTACAGCTTATTAAGAAAGCGCGATAAGAGATGATAAAAATATCAAATTAAATCGCGAAACTCCACACAAGTAAAAAGCCATCCAAATTTGAGTGAGCAGTCATATTTCAGAAGTTGTACATATATATATATATATATATATCATTTATTATTTATCATTATTATCACTCATCATTAAAACATTCGTAGCAATTCCAGCGTCTTAATCCAAGCCCTGATAATAATTTATGACCATTAGCCCGGCTCTGAATAATTGCGCCTACCTTAATTGCACATGCATCTGCACAGGTGCACACCATTAACGCGCGCCATTGTACATTCGTACATGCACAAAGAGCGCGCGCGCGCGCGCACACACACACACACACACACACACACACACACACACACACACACACACACACACACACACAGTGTGCGTGTCTACTTGCATATACACACATATGTACCTACCTACCTGCGAATGCCGAACTGTTGACCAACCGCTCACCGAGCGGGTGTACGCCATCTATAGACCGTCGCCGTCTCGAGTAATCGCGTCAGTTGGTGCTCAGCTGTCGCGCAACGTGCAACGTACAGGCGGCCCACTCGCGGGATCGATAGTTTCGTCCGTCGTATACGAGGGAAGGAGCCGAGCTCGTGTTGTCCGTGTTGTCTCTTTAACATCGGAAACGCCAATAGCTCTGAGCTCTCCGATCTGCAAGACGGTCCACGTGTCCCTCGTCTGAGTCACTCGCACCCCTGATGTGTCGTGACCGCAGGTAGGCACGTAGATCTAAAGAATCGTCGTTGAGAAGAAATGATTTTTCCCATCCGTGCGTCGTTGCATCTTTCCGACGTGAAACATTTGTAACTGAGCTGAGCGTCGCCAATTTCTGTTTACATTTTTTGTAATTTTTGTTTCGAGTCCGTATATTATTAACGTTGCGAGGGAGATTTATCAGAACAAATGCGTAAAGTAGTAGTAAAATATCCCTCATTGAAAGTCGAATTAAAAAATAGAATTTTTTTTTACATTATTTCGATAATAGAAGACACTCGTGTTTTGTGCTATGATTTTGTTATATCGTTGTTTCACGCGATTAACGTAGTGTGTCTCGTGGTCAGAATAAACGTGTTGTCTGATCTATAGATTTTTAGATAAAACATCTCTAACATATCGATCTGTCACTCGGCAGGCAAACTTATCCGTGCACGTCGAGATTGCAGCTGCGCTGCACCGGCAATTTAAGTTACCTAACTTTGATTAACTCCATTTCTCGCGTCTCCCTTTTTAGACCGCAGTTCTACAAGCGGTGTGTAAGAGAGCAAGGAAAATTGAAAACTGAATCAAAGCTTGAGTTATTTTAGAGCTCGAGATGATTCTCGAAAAATGAATTGAAAATATTTACACATCTGGATGGCAGCGGTGATGATAAGTGACAGTAATTAAGAGAGACGGAAGCGTTGGCTGATCACAAGGAGGTCTTAGATCGCGACAATGATTTACGAGATTACTTCGACACACACATTCACGTTACCGTGCAGCTCGTTAGATAATTAAAGAATAATTAAAGCGAATAAGTTAAATTACTATGCGAAATAAAATTAAGCGAAATTAGATTGCGCGATATCTCATTCCCACGCGGAAACTTAATCCGTCTATATATAAAAGTCGGAACACTTGTGGAAAAACCCACATCACCGTGTTCGCAAAAAAACTTAGACTTGACTCGAAGCAAAACGTTTTGCTCAATGAATTCATGAATGAAAGTTCGTCAGTGGAGATAAAAATATTCTGTAGATGAAACGTCTTAACATTAAAATTGTTGGCCATGACTCTAGCTGACACAGAAATACTACGCTATGTTTTCGAATTTACAAATCACGGAAAGCAAATAGCTCTTTTTTTGGTGTTCGATAGATCGGTACCAAAAAATAGATCGGTACCAAAAAATTCTGAATTTTGTCTATTTATCGTGTACATACAAAATAAATAGTGAACGGAAAGAGAGAAATTCGGTGGCCAAAAAAATATAGCAACAAAAAATACAGTTGCAAAAAATATGCCAGCGGTTTTAATTACAATTTCTAGATTATGAGTTGTAACGATTAAATAAATGTATTATTTTAAGGTCAGGCATCATCTTGCGTGCTAATTAAATTAAAAATTCTGTTAAAGTGCCAGCTCACTTCAGATTTAGTACGAAACTTAATAAGATTTATTATATTATTTATCTGTTTATTATATCGCGCTTACAATCCGAACACCGTTTCTCGATGTTGAAACAAATGGCGCTTTTTTAGTAGCTCTTGATATTTACCCTCACGTATGTCGAGACTTCCAGTACAAACTAAAAATAAGGTCGAATGCCGACCCTCTCTTAATCTACCAAGCAATTGCTCGGTAAATCGCGCGTGATATCTCGGTCCTGAAATTATCAATTCCATCTCGCGCAGCCCCGTATCTCCTTTACATTACGTAATATGACATCGTTACACCCAATATAACAATTTTACGAGGTAACTCGTAATAAGGATGCTATTGATCATAAAATATTCGCGTCCTATGATTCATGATGATATATTCAATTGGTGATTGGTAATTGGTAATTGGTCGACACAAATATCGTTCGAAAAGCTGTTATGTAATCCGTTAAAATCCGCATGCGCGATTGAATAAGTGTAATCGTAGCGTATCGCAATGCTTTATTGTCCCTTTCTTGCTGAAGATTATGTCCAGACGAA